TTTTTAAGGGGGGGGGGGGGGGTATATCGCCCTGGCGTAAATTAAATTTCTCAAGAATGTGGATATAGTTATATAGAAAATTAGCGACGCGTTTTATACCGCCATTACGTTACTACATGTAAATTCCTTAAAGAGTTGAGCCACACGTTTAATACGAATTATTAGATTATTAACTAACAGTCGGATTTCGCCTGCGTAAACCTTGCAGCTCGTAAACGTTCACCAGCAGCATAATCAGAAAACACATGATCCGGGTCTCATATCAGTATCGTCTTGCAAGGTAGCGAAAATCAAGAGACTCGGTCGAGTCTCGCGCGAAGTACAGGCAACCGGCTGTACAGGGCACAGCTCGCAGAGACTCTTTACTTGAGTCAACTCTCATACCTGTTTGGAACGAAATATCTTATTAACCGCTATACATGAGAAAAAGTTATTTGTACATTCACTATAGGAATTGAGGGTTCTGAATTGATTGCCACCACTTTCAATACAATTAGTGTACGAGATCAGGGCGTATTGAAATGGCGAGCGAGATGATTTTATTTCAGTTCCGTCGCCGTCGTCATCGTCGTCATCGTCTTCGCACGTCCATCTACTTTTTTACACGACAGATGGCGCTGGCTACTTTGCCCTCTTTACCTATTTGTATTCTGTATGATGTTAGTAAACGAATATCCAACACAATCAGATACACTTTGTACATGAAGCTACCGTTCACACAGAATTTCCAGTTAATATAAGGCTGCTTTCACAATAGTATAGAATTATTAAAACTTTCATGTGGAGCGGTGTGTATTCGTGTACGTATGTGTATGCGTGGACATAGTTCCTCGTATTTTACGTGACAAATTTTAGAGATATAGGATTTCCAGATGTTCCTCTTCATAGTTTCCTGTATCTAGGTGTCGGATGTGAAAGTCCAGGGTTTCGAGATATTCCTCTCCGTAGTTTCCTGTGTCCAGGTGTTGGATGTGGAAGTCCAGGGTGTCCAGGTATTCCGCTCCGTAGTTTCTTGTATCTAAGTACTGGATATGGAAGTCCAGGGTGTCCAGGTATTCCGCTCCGTAGTTTCTTGTATCTAAGTACTGGATATGGAAGTCCAGGGTGTCCAGGTATTCCGCTCCGTAGTTTCTTGTATCTAAGTACTGGATATGGAAGTCCAGGGTGTCCAGGTATTCCGCTCCGTAGTTTCTTGTATCTAAGTACTGGATATGGAAGTTCAGGGTGTCCAGGTGTTCCGCTCCGTAGTTTCCTGCATCTAGGTGTCAGCCGTGGAAGTTCAGGGTGCCAGGCATTCCTCTCCGTAGTTTCCTGTGTCCAGGTGTTGGATGTGGAAGTCCAGGGTGTTCAGGCATTCCGCTCTATAGTTTCCTGCATCTAGGTGTCAGACGTGGAAGTTCAGGGTGTTCAGGTGTTCCGCTCCGTAGTTTCTTGTATCTAAGTACTGGATATGGAAGTCCAGGGTGTCCAGGTATTCCGCTCCGTAGTTTCCTGCAACTAGGTGTCGGACGTGAAACTTCAGGGTGTCCAGGTGTTCCGCTCCGTAGTTTTTTGTATCTAGATGTCGGGCGTAGAAGTCTAGAATGTCCAGAAAAGTGTGCAACGAGCGACGCTTTGGTGCTTCGCTCAAACAATAGTATTCTCTCTGTTGTTCGCACGGCCTCAGGTAGGTAAATAATCCAGCACACTCTCCTCTCTTACGTTTACCACACGGCTTCAACAAGCTGGACACCATTAACGACGCTTATATGCACTGAAGATTACATTTTCTTTAAAAATTTGTATATATCTTTATGCATTTCTAAAAAAAAAGGGATTTAAGAATTATATTTATATGCCATTAAACATTTTCGACGACGCAATACATTTTTCTGATTAGCGACATCATAATGCATTTACATTTTATATCTGTGAAAATATAGATTTCAGTGCTTAGAGCTTCTATGTCCCGTTGAACAACAAAAACTTGTGATATCCCCCAAAAAACACTTACGTGTAAAAAACTACGCCAAGTACAGGAGTGCTGTGTATTCCTCTAATAAAAAGTATTGATATCAGATTATGGAGGCCAAGTACATAAGTCACTACATGTTTGCCTATTATATGATCTAGCACTGGCCCATCATTTTAATTGTATTTTCAAAATTTCTTATAACGTTTTCACTACTCTTTTACATTACTACTGCTTCCCGTAGTTGATTATGATTTAATGGTCATTTAATAATTAATTAAACTTTAGGTGATTCCTTATCGAGTACTACTTGGCGGGTCCGTGCCAGGCATTCCAAAGTACTTACTTTGAACGTACTAATAGTATCCTAAAACTATATGTTTGTTATTAAGCTTTTACCGTGATTATTTTTGACGAGTTATTGTGAATGAGCTGTATATAGACATTTGACATTGGTTTTGAGTTTGATAACTGGCATAATGAACGCGAATTTATGTCAAGAAATGCACGAACCCACCAAGTAGTACTCGATAAGGAATCGCCTAAAGTTTTATTAATTATTAAATGACCATTAAATCATAATCAACTACGGGAAGCAGTAGTAATGTAAAAGAGTAGTGAAAACGTTATAAGAAATTTTAAAAATACAATTAAAATGATGGGCCAGTGCTAGATCATGTAATAGGCAAACATGTAGTGACTTATGTACTTGGCCTCCATAATCTGATATCAATACTTTTTATTAGAGGAATACACAGCACTCCTGTACTTGGCGTAGTTTTTTACACGTAAGTGTTTTTTGGTCGATTTACCTTACTAAAGGCCATTCTATTGGCCATAGGCCAATAAGGCCATTCTATTCAATACAATGCAACGGATCAAGTAACACGGAAGAAATAAGCAATAAGACATTCAATTGTATATGTATTTACCTAATTCCATTAGATCCTCCAATCAAAAAGGAGAAAATCGTTTTTAAAACCGAGCGTTTACTACGTCTCTGCAATTTTGGCGACGCCTTAGACATAGTAACGATACGGAAGCGGAGTATCGTTGCTATGTATTTTTAAAGTAAGCCGTTACAGATTACGGAACGGGGCATGCTCGAGGCATGCATCACGTTTCATGCTCCGTGAAGTCCTTAAAGACCCTAGCAACCGCTTCCGAATCGTTGCTATGTCCAAGATGTCACAAAAATCGTAGGGACTTAGTAAACGCTCGGTTTTAAAAACGATTGTCTCCTTCCTGATTGGAGGATCCAATGGATTTAGGTAAATATCAGTTGAAGATCTTATTGCTTATTTCTTATTATATTGCATTGTAGAATGGCCTTTAGTAGCAAGTATCACTCGTTTCTTTTGACAATTTTTTTTTCATACAACTTACTTTTCCTAGAAAACGTCTTGTCGTTTAAGGAAATTTGTCCTGTAACATCGGGACCTTACAGCGAAATCTATTACCGATGTTCCTAATTCAATGAGAAAATAGCTTCACTTCTCTGAAGGCAATGTATACGACCATCATATTGGTGCCTGTAAAAGTGCCTATTTCGAGCTTGATTAAGAATTTCATTTAACGATTTTTAACAGATATATATTATATTAAAGAAATTTAGGATATCGATCCGACTCTATTCTCCACGATCGGTTTATTCTGTCCAAATAAGAATTGTTGCATGAGTTCGGTTCTCTCGATCGAATTAATCTGGAGGAGTAGAGAGGGACCTTAAGTCGGGATGTATGAGAGAAATTGTGCCGGTTGGTTGCGTTTCTCCGTAAAACCTACACAATAGCTATATAAGAGTATAACGTTGGAACAAGGTGGCATAATCACAGGATGCCACTTACCTTGTATTTCTTATTTATTCACTGTTTTCCTTTTCTTTTTAAATTTTCTCTAACCTTCCAGTCACTCTCTCTTCTTTTTGTTCTATCTCCCTCTTCTTCTTTCTTGCCCTTCTCTCTGGACTGAGAAGTACATAACTTCTTTCTATTACCTATTATTATATTCGGTAGAACCTGTCCCTCATTTATTTCCTAGTCATCTATTCATAATCATTAGAGTATATGACCAATGTGAATGATACCTTAATGTAAACACTATAAGCCCATAAAAATAACCAAGATATCGATTGAAACGTATAAGCTATTCCGTGAATTATATTTTACTCTGTTGAAACTTTACTCGGGCTAAAACAGCGATACAGTAAAAACTTATATGAAAAGATAGTACCAGACAATTTTTGAAAATTTAAAAACACTGCCTGCCACATCATTTTTAATATCTTTTAATAGTGTGTTCTTACGAATAGTTTTTGTTTGTTATTTCTTACGTAAGGTAAGGTGAGTTGGAGAAAATGCGAATTGTTGTTTAAATTTTGATTTATGATCCTGAGGTATTTCAATTTCTGTATCCGATTAATTGATGTAATAGTATTTAAGGAGAAATTTGCGCACCTCTCCTATACATATTGTACAGTTATGCGAATGAACTTCTGCCCATTTCAACATATTTATCTACATTTCAATTGCACTGGCGCATCTTTTTTAATCCGTGTACCGGCCATGCTAAGCGATTTTTATGAGATTTATAAAGTTTCGAAATTTATGATGTTTATATGTATATGAAAACTGATCATTTCGGAATAATGATACCAGTTTGTTGGTTTTTGTCGATCGCATTATCGTGTTGCATAGGTGAGAAATAATGATGCATTATTTAAGAACATAGAAACAGAATTTTATTCATCAGTCATAGGTTGGGCTTTCTTTGCATTATAATTAGAGCTTTCCCTGATCGCCGGAAAAATATGCAAAATAATTTTCTTTGAATACGTATACCTATACATACATAAGACGAAGCGGCGGTGCGCGTTGCGTTACGTAAAACTTCACGGAAATTCGTCACGCCGCCACCGTCGATCAGGGATTCATATGAGCGTCCTTTACTTTTTTATAATCGAATTCGACAGTCCTATTCTTAAAATTTTGCAACAGTCATGACAAAGTAAAAATATATTTCATATGAAATTTGTTAAAAAATCTGAATAAGATGAAAAGGACTATCGAATTCGAGTAAAGACTTTATTCGAAATATAATGATAATTTTAGAACGATGTTTTATACGTTTTGTACAAATTTGTATGAAACCATATAATAGTGTAGTTTTTGTAGAGTCGTTCGTGAATATAAGTTATAACGTGACAGGCTTAAAAACAATGGAAAAGAATGGCAGTACAAATTTTGTAATAAAAATCGTTCGGTAGTAATCTCGTATAAAGTCTTTGAACGTTTCGTGCGAAATAAATAAAATATTAATGCGCTACTTTACAAAAATAAAGGGAAGTATAGAGACAATAGACAAGATTGATTTATATCATTCATGGTTTGAACGCGCTCAAAAATATGAGCATTTCTTTTAGTATTTTTCGAATCGCCTCTGAATAAATACAGTACGATATAGCGCATGTCAAAGTATTAAGGAAATGATATCACTGTGAGTACACAGACTCACCGGAAGCTGCATACAAGGCAGTTCTTGTGGTAGGTTTTCAATTTTGACTTGTCCTCGACAAATTATCCTGATCGAGCACTTTGAACCATAAATCTCTTTCACGAACATGCATATAATCGACCTCTCAGTAAAAAGTGCATATTTCTTAAAAACACACCAAAAATGAAAAATAAGATATAACAATTATTATTTTGAATTGAAATGGCTATAAAAACGATTAACCATTTAAACAGTTAATTGCATTCTGTCGATTCGTCCGAAAAAAAAATAAACCGAATGAAAAAGGTTGATGAATGTCTGACCAGGCATGATCGTGAGAAATTAAAACTCTATAGGTTCTTGAGAAAGGACGATTTTAAGAGAACGAAAATTAAGAAAAAATATATAAGTGGATGATTTCTTGCGGGTAGCGAAGGCGATGCCCACCGACATGAAATCTCAGTGTACAAATTATTTACAACGATTTAGTCTATCTACTTCGAGAAACTATCTTTTCCTCGCTCGCAAATGTACATAAAAATTCAAAATATCCTTTTTCCAACTCTTTTCGTAAGCGTAAGAAAAAAATGTTCAAAGGATTACGCTTTTCAGTTATTCGCTCTAAGTATCTACTCAAATATATTTACATGTACCTGTTAACGTGCCATGCACGATTTTATAATTTTTTAATATTTTATTGTTTATATATATCGTTTATTAACGATCCATGAGTATTTACGAGTATCACTCTTGTCTATATACACTGGTTCGCTTATTGCACGGTTAACAAGAGAATCGTTTTAATTCCTTTAATCAGCCTTCACATATTTCTTTTTTTTGATCCAGACGAGGAAATTCACACTTTCACCATATTCCATCGTGTAGTAGTAACTACACATTAACTTTTCACTTAACACGCTATGTATATCACTTTCTATATGTGAACAGCAACCGTACGCGGTCCATTTGACGTCCTGTTGTTGTGCTGCCGTCGGACTGGCGGTGGTTGTCTCCTCTGCGTAGTACGTTGATTATTCGGCACGTCAGGTAATGCGAATCGTAATTTTTCCCAAAACAACTTATCGCCCCACTGTAGATACGTATTTGTCTTGAGGTAAAGTCTTATATCAGGATCCAAGTCCCTTTGTGGCACATCACCCACCAGCACCAGGATCAAACGACGTCTACGATCCCTAAGAACTTGATGATGCGCCGACTTAAACTCAAATCTGCACCATTCGGATTTGATGAAATTCTCCGAAAGCACCATTATCGTCCTACGGGACGATTCTACGGCTTGGACGATAGTGTCGGCTATAAAACTTCCCACTGGAAAATCACGATAGTGTAGACACAGTTTGTAAGACGGATTTCCCATTTCCAGGACGGGTGCTAATTCTTCGGCCACAAACGCTTCGTCCTTCGAGCTATAACTGACAAAAGCGTCAAAAAGTTTATCACGATCATCACGATCGGCTTCCGTGTTTCTGTAGAAAATTCGAACACCAAAACGCGAGTGGAACCAAACACGAAGTTCCTGACGGAATATAAATGCTAACGTGCACAGCAGCATTGCGATTAGGAATGCGGCTAACGTAGCTAACAGAAGTGGTAAATAATCCTGCAGTGCTTGACGTTCGATTATGGTTTTGGTTAGGTTTCCATGGATACTATTCTCGATACTGGCTAAGCCACGGCAAACCGTATTGTTACTCGTCGTACTATATGCAGTAATGGAGAAACCAAACTCATCGTCGTTGAACACTTCGTCTCCGTATGCCTCGAATTCCGTTATGTTAAAGACACATCGAAGTTCGGTGGTGTCAGTTATTTTGGTTACACCACTGAGCACCCACTCGCGATACATCTGTAAATAGTCACATTCGCATGACCAAGGATTATCGGACAAGCTCACGTCTATTCTGCGCGGTAACAACCACACTGATACTATCGAGAGATGATTCGAGTCCAGTCGCAGTACTTCGAGTGATCTCAGCGGCGTGAAGGTGCTATTCGCAATGACACTGAGTTTGTTGCGCTGCAGATAAAGGGTCTTCAGTGCATCGAGTCCTTCGAATTCGTGGCCGCGAAGTTCACGAATTCTATTATCTTGAAGATGAAGATCTTCCAAGTCACGTAGACCGTTGAACGAACGATTTTGCACAGTCTCTATGTTGGAAGCATTCAAAAATAACATTTTGAGTCTTTTACGTCCAATGAAAGCATGACTAGAAACAGATTTTAGGTCATTCCCATCCAGGTATAATTTGGTAGCGTCCATTGGAATTTGTTCGGGTAATTTACCAATGTGTCCACCGATGGAGCAATCCACAACATTTGCGGACCACGATTGATCATGGTAGCAGGTACAGTTTGAAGGGCACGTCATTTCACAATCACACGCATCGAAGTCACAGCAATGACATAGGGCAAAGCAGTGTGCCTCGTACTTGCAGAGAAATTGGGAGTGCGAAGCTTCTACCAATGGTATGAAAACACGTTCTCGATCGTAAAGTAATTTGCAGTAAATACTTTCCAAGTCCATTACTTTTGGCTGTATTCTATTTTGCGAACGTCTATTGACACTTTGCAGCCATTCCATCGTGCAGTCGCAGAGATATTGATTTTCGCCGATATAAAACTCCGGAAGCGGTTTTTGTGGCGGTACTGCGCTGATCCTCAAGGAATACGGCTCAAGATTCCGTATACGGTTTCCCTTCAAATCGACACGAGTTAAATTTGGCTTCTTGAAGAACGCATAGCTCTGTACTTTAGATATTAAGTTGTCATTCAAATATAACAGTTCAACACTCATAGGTATAGCACTTCCGGTTATTTCCGTGAGTTTATTATCACTCGCATCGAACGTACCAAGTTGAAGCTGCGACTCGATTTCAAAGTAGTTACCGAGTTCACTGATCTCGTTCGAATGTATATCCAGCCACTGAAGTCCAGTCGGTATCATTGCGTAATCGAACCATTTTAGTTTGTTATCACTGACATTCAGCCAGACTAGATTTGGCAGCCTACTGAATAATTCGGTAATTTCTGTCAATTGATTACCATCTAATCGGATTGCTTGGAGATTTACGTTAGAATCGAAGGTGAATGGCTCTACATATTGTATCCGGTTCCTCGAAAGATTCAGTATCTTCAGATCGACGATCTTGTCAAAGATGCCCTTAGTCAGATTACCAATATGATTCTCTGTTAATCGTAACCCGTACATTTGAGGTACGTGATCAAACGTGCCATGCGGTATTTCTGTGATGAGATTCTCCCCGAGATCTAACGTACGCAGTAATGGAGTAGCCTTTAGCGCTTCCGGTATTGAAGTAAGTCGATTTCCGTTCAAATGAAGATCCTGAAGAGACGAGGCGTTCTTCAGTGAATTGGGATGGAGGCTATTCAGTCGGTTATTGTCGAGAGAGAGTAAACTCAATACGTAGAGTCCACTCAAGGTAGCGGCATCGATTACAGTCAATCGATTATCACTGAGCACAAGGGTATGAAGATTGTAAAGTGCCGAGAACGTGTTCTCAGGTAGATTGTCCAGTAAGTTTCCTTGTAGACGCAAAATTTGTAGACTGTAAAGATCCCTGAAGACAGCTGGCTCCAATCTGCCAATTCGATTGCTGGACAGATCTAGAACGACCAGCCGTACCAAACCGGTGAACGTAGCAGCATTCACCCATTCGGCAGTCAATTCATTTTTCGACAAGTCCAGTACAAGCAACTGCGATAGTTCACTAAACAGACCAGGAGGCAAAACGTTCAAACTATTATTCCTGAGATGAATCTCTTGTATGCTCCTGGACTCGCTAAAAAGTTCAGGTGGTAGACTAGCCAAACGGTTATCGGATAATCGTAACACGGCGAGGGAACTGAGAGCCTCGAATGCTCTGTCGGCGATGAAGGTAATGGCGTTGCCACGAATGTCTAAAGTGTGTAATCTGGTCAAGCCAGAAAATGCAGCCGTAGGCAGTGACTCGACACTATTATTACTGAGGTCAAGTTCGCGAAGTCCAGCGGCACATCTCGCTTCGGCATTAAATCTGAAGCTGTTCACCTCTCTCAGACGATTTCTCGTTAGATTAAGTACTTCAAGATTTATCAATGGACATAATACACCCTCCGGAAGTGTCCACATATTGTTCTTGCCGAGATCGAGTCTCTCGAGTTGTGAGAGTTCCTCGGTGAAGGCTCTCGAGGATACGTCGAGTGCCATGGAGGACCAATCGGTGTTGTGCGTGCGCACGGTGAGGTTTCGAAGTTCCTTAAGACCCTTGAAGGCATCGTCGGACAGATTGCCGATTTTACAGTACTCTATAATGAGTTCACGTAACTCAACGAGAGGCCGAAAGCTTCCGGCACTTAGAGAACTCTGATACAAGAGTGCGTCGCTGCATTCCAAACGTAATCGAACTGTGTGTTGAGGTTGGATGACGCTGAAATTGGTGTTCTCCAACTCGCTGTTGATCGTTCTAAGTCGACAGACTAGAGATACGTCGTCCTCTGCATCACCAGTCGATACCCACTTGCACTCGTCCGGTGCTTTGTATCTAAGGGCCTTACTTAGAGAGGCCCCAAGGACCCCGAATATCGTCCCGAGCAATATGGCGAAGAAGGCAGGGCTGCCCTGCATCTTTGCACACTTTATAGTCCCATGCACGTATCGTCACTGTTTTGCACTGATCACAAGTTATTTAATTATTAAACAGCTATTTAAATAAAGGTATTTCAAGGAGGATAGGAAATTAAGGGGGTCCTAAGGCCCTTAATAATCGTTATCTCACATCGCTCATCACTGGGACCTTATTCAGGTCTTCACACACTTCCACTTCATCCGTTATTATCACGAAAAGGGATATGCCAGTCTCCCACGTTGTTCTATAATCCAAATGGTAATCCTCTCACGAGGCCCACTGTTGTTGGGCCTAAATCCTACACGCAGGTACACTGTAAATTCGCTCGAACTGAGACTCTTCGGATTTCCACTTTTAAAAACGCGAACACGAACCCGCGCGCGCGTCGGTTACAAAAAGATTTCCCGGCTCCGCTAGCTGGCACGGTTCTCCGAGGACTGATCCGGTAGGCCGGTGGGCCGTTGGGCCCAAGCTTGGGCCCGCTACTAGAATAATTCCTTTCCCTCACCGCGCGACCTTCTACGCTCCCATGATTCACGTCCCTTCACCTCACTCCGTACCGTAGTGTGAGCTCTACTGAATTTCTCCTCTTCTACCGGCCCCACTGTGCTACTTCCTTGCCCTGGACCCCACTCCTGAACACCTTCGGGGCCCGACGCTCCAGCATGCCTATAAAAACAAGACAGGTACACTCTCTGGGCCCTCACAGTGGCTCATCCGACTCTATGCTTTGCATACATACGGATCTTCTCCATTGCTTGGTCCTCTACTTGCTCTACGTTATACATAGCGGTGAACCCCGAGAATACCAACAAGGCTCTAGTTGCCTTTTTTACGCAACTCCTACGACTACACTTTAACTTCCACCCTCGAACAAGAGACAGGATGTTACATTTACAGTATATTCTCACTAAGAAGGCATCATTATAGATATAACCTACAGAAATCCGAGCCGGGCACGTTTTCACTTTCTCCGCTACCAGTATCTTGACTATCTCAATTTTACTATTCTCTACGTGTAAGACTATCTCTTATAATTTTCAATACTAACGTAAAGTGGGCAATGATTATTAATTTTAAATTTGTAGTAATAATGAAAATAATCATTAAAGTACTTTAACTGTTAGGTAAAAATAGCATCTATAGTTGTTTTGCAAATGAGTAGAATTTATTTCATACGTGGAAGATGGATTCTCGTGCTTAGTAGATGTTGATATGGTAATATATTGCAGTGGCTTCCACGAGGGTTGAACCTCGTCCTCATCCTTAAGCTCAATCCTCTAGTCGCTCACGAATCTAATAAGCATTCTCACTCGGGGTGTAAAACGATCGGGCATATTGTATTAACGTTATGGCGCGAAGCGGGGCTTCGTTAAGTGGTTCCCTATAGAGTCGGGCTACCCCCTGCCAAGAGCAGGGGGTCCGATAGCCAGTAGGTGCCGATCCCTGAATATGCCATGGGACCCCATGGCTCTGTGGACCTGCGGGAAAGCACCGGCTAATTATGCAGTTTAACGCGCTTGGCCACGGCAGGTCCCGGGTGTTATTGTAATAATGTTGCTAGCGCTACGGGGCCTCCTGAACTGATGGAAACTAATAATTCACACTATAGAAACGCCATTAGAATAACTGTAAGTCGTTGCGTTATTGCCCGTTAAGTCATTTTGAAGATTTTGCTACAACCGATTATACGCTTATGAACTTTGTCTCACTTTCTTTGCAATGTAACCCTCACGATTACTTCGGCATCTTGAGCTTCCTCAACAATTCTGTGGTAGAAAGTAACGCGGAAACCATGGGACCATCGACCTTTCGTTTCTGACTTTACCCGTAGAACAAAAGACAATCCCACACTTTCTTCTTTCATGACAACGACTGTTATACATTCTAAGCTAGATCGCGCGAACTATTGAAGCTATTTTGCTCCAATAGTGTCGGAGTTATTCCTGACAGGATATGCGAATGCAATGGTGCCGCGTCAGAGTCCTCCTAACAAGAGCCAAGTAAAATCATTTTCGCATTCTGATTTACGATCGTTCCTTTATTGCCACTTGCGGTGCAATGCTGCGCTTAATAAGAGTGTGATTAAAAAAGGCTATGAGCTAACCAGCCCTGCCAGTTAGTCAGCCTTTATGCTTTCAATTATCAATAAACCGAACAGCCCTTTGCGGCTCGTAAACGTACCTAACTCATTTATGCGAGAGTTCAATGACATATTTATTTTCTACCAATTTCTTGGCAGGTAGCTACTCCATGCATTATTTTTAAATAATAATTATGTATTTCATTTTTAACAAATTTTGTTTGTCCAGGTTCTATCGGCTGTATGACAATTATTGCTGAATATCACACGATTCCGTTTAATTCATTTACGGCGATCAATACCATATGGCGATTCAAATAGTCTTCATTATTATTTTTGTAAAATGGAAGGATACAAAGTCTCGTTATAATTATAGCAGTAAAAGGAACACGCGCTATTTTGCAGGTGACTTTCTTCTTCGGATAACATCTGTGCCACAAAATGATCGTTGACCACAAGATTGATAGGTTTCTACATAGTTAACCCGCCTCGGCCACCATAAATTTATCCAAACTATCCGATTCCCTTCCTAGTCTTCCTGTAGCGCATTATTTTTTGATGCCACGTGAGTTAAAATTTTCCCATCCAAACGAATCTGTTGCTGTATCCGAATTCAAACTTCCGATCAAAGCCAATGTATCTGAAGATCATACTAGTTCTACTCGTGTCTTATAGAATCTTGGTGCCCTCAAATATTGCGCAACATTGAATACAATGAGTATGTCAAATTGATCCGGATAGAGGGTCAAACCACTAATAGATGGCTATAGGCAGCTTAATGCATACGGAAATTCTAGGAAGCATAAAGATAGAAATGTTGATGGATTACGGTAAAAAAATGTGCTTATACTCAAATCGTGCTAACTTTCCTTCGTAGAGGTCTTTAGAGTACCTTCTATTATATCCATCTGGTTTCTTCTCTATGCCATCCCTCTCCCTCTCTCTCTCTTTCTCCTTCTCCTTCTCTTTTTCTGTTATGGATGCATGTATGTGTCGGTTATTGTTTTAGAGAGGATTCCATGCCGCGTCAGTGATCACGACGAATACCTAACTCCCTCCTGCTTCCATGCATCATGTATTTTCCATCCTGGTTGGCCTTTATAAGACGGTTCGTGGTAGACTGACTATCCCTACTTCGTGAGCCGTAACCCCTTTTCTTACTGCACTTTACGAAGAGCAGTTCTATCCCCGCCATTAATACGTTCTAATCTGCTGTATGGTCTTTCCCTTTCATTCTTCTAGTACACCGGGTAGAGTTTATGTACTTTAATCACCTGTTGCAGAATGCGGCAGAAGGAAGTTACGGGTCTTTCGAATAAAGTTTCGTTCGTGACAGAGTGGATTAACTTTAAACTGCTACAATAACTTTTTGTTGGGAAAAAATTAATTATTCGAATTTTATTTTCCATGTCAAACACCTCAGCCATATATTACATACTTGCATACAAATTTTGTATGTTACCTATTTGATTTCGTTTATTCGGATAAAGTATACTGTTGGATTTTACTATTATTATTATTGAAATTTAATCGTGGTATTAGTTTGAGGCGTTACAACCAGTGAAATATAAATTTAATGAATAGTAATGTGATCGTATATTCTCGATTGGTAATCCTAATTATATAATCAACAATGAGAAATATTTCTTAGAGTCTGTGAATTCTTTCATTCAAAATATTCGGAACAAGCGTGGAAATCAATTGATTCTCGATAAAAGGTGGAAAAATAGACAGCTAGATGTGCATTCATAAGGAAATTGACCGTGAAATTTCGATAACACCTTTCCTAAGTTATGCATATAAATAAGGCAAAAGAATTGCGGGTAGACTGATGCCAAGAACGGTGAAGATGTGGCAATACCTTTGTTAGTGGAAGGTTAATGGTGAGGGACCCCCGGGTATCTTACGGCGCTGACAGGAGCCTCGTTAACGATTACGATAACTCCAGCTCGGAGCTAGGGACGCCGCCGCCGCCACCGCCGCGCCGACTGACTTGGCACCTATACCCAGCGCACTGGTGCTCCGAAAATTAACGACCTCGCGAACCTGCTGTGATTCCGTAAACGAAAACCGCACAATTTTCTTCTTCTTTTTCACTTTCTTCCATTTTTTTTTTAAATTTCTTGTTCTTCAATTTCTTTTCCGTACCTTTACTTCGAATGCTTTTTTAAGCTTCGTTCTTTCAGCTTACCTTTTACTGCCTCCTTCAATTTTCAGTCTCCCTCGATCACGTTTCCTTTATTCTGTCTGATGATATTTCATCTTTCTCTGCAACTTCGCATATGGAACGTTTAAACCATGAAGAGTACGCATGTGGAAAGTGGTTGCGTGATTACGTGAGTGGCGTACCATGCGTGTGAATGCGTGCAGACACGTGTCACGTTCCGTCTACTTCTACAGTCTGCCCATTGCAAGATCTTTCGCTCTTGGTGTATCTATAAAAAAGGCTTTCTTTGTAGTTGCATAGGGAAGTATCTTTTTGTTCTTCTCTGAATGAATATGTTCTTGCAAAGTGCATGTACACTGTGTTTACAGTTTTCAGAGTTGCATGGGAAAATCAACGATAATCGGATTCCATCGATCATTTTATGTCAATCTTATATATTTCAATTCTCGGTCTTATTAAATACGACTGTTATTTTGTTGTATATAGAGATTGGTGTTACGAATATATTGAGATCGTCCAAAAGAAAATGCGAAAAGGATATTCCAACATTAAATTCTCTCGTTGGTATATTTTGATTGTATATTTTTATTTGTCATACTCGTACTTGGTCCATTAAATTCACTAAACTTATTTGATAAATATATAGCATGCTACGAATTTATTCAGTACACCGGAACTTCAGTTATTTGAAATACTCGAAAGGTACAAAATAACTACTGATAAAATTGTACGTCTGTGATGTTTACTTTATATCGATTCGTAAGAGTCAATTCATTCATTATAATCTACAGTGAATATCCAATTAAAAATTACCGCTTTCTCTGACCAATTAAAAAATTATCTTTAAAGAGACATACTATTTCGCTATTCATTACATTTAGAATGTAATGCCGTGGCTCTACCACAATATTCATGACATTAATGACATGCTGTATAATGTATCCGTTTTTTATAACCTTGTTTACTTATCAACTATATAATCGGCGTGGAGCATTTTTATGATATTTTGAACACCTAACTTTGCAACACTCAAAAACATGACCATCCAAATACACTACTTCAGGAAAAGAACAAATCTTGTTTTTTTTTTACTTCAGTACATGATTCATGTATTTTTACATCACATTTATATTGTCCCATTCCAAATTATTTGAACGCGATCTAAAATAATGATATAGGAAATCAACGTTGTAGTAACCCGATTCAGAGGCCGAAATCAATTCGAATATTATGAAAAAAATCACTGTGTTCCCAAAATGACTATATAAATTGTTAAATATGGAGCTGATTCACTACTTTAGAAAGTTGGTACTCCTGATTATTACACATAAGACTCGATTGTAAAGTCGCAAGACATTCTTATCGTAAAATATTTCTTTATTATTACCACGAATATCTAATGTCCTCAGCAATATAAAATAATGCATTTAAAAAGAGAAGCGATTAGGATAGGAAAATACTTTAAAATATTAATATTGATTAATTTTATAAACGTTGTACATACTTTAAAAAATATTTATAATGATATATTTCATTTGAAACCATATTTGCATTTTTTCAGTTTTCGTATAAACACGGAAGTATTAGACGCAAACGTGATTTCTTCGCAGAAATTTATACTATTAAACAAATATGCACTTATCAAACCTTGGCTGCCTTTGAAATCATTTTAATATTTTGCAGTGCTATTTTTCACTAGTGCGTCCCACACAAACTTTTTCTATGCACCATTATTACGTTCACGATAAAGTATAGATTATGGAAAATTTGAGAATGTCTTATATTTTTCAAATAATCGTACACTGTTCATCGACAGAATTGAAGACTGCGTCCCATTTCAATATTTCCACACTGTGTTGCTTCAGAGACCGTACCAGACTGTTTTATGCAATCAAAAAGAAATAATCTTATCAGTCGCAAATATGACGTGTCGGTTAATATGTGTAACGTATGTTTGACGTATCGCAACCACGTGTGTATTTGTATCTTAATGTCAGTATTCGATAACACTTGTTCCGTGGTAACGAAACCATAATAACATTACTGGTAAACACTGAATAGTTATTCAAGTCGACCATTGATTCCGAATTTCGACTTCGTTGTGGACATTAAACTAAATACTATTATCTGTTACTGCATCCAAAATAATAATGAATAATGTTAACACATTTTTATCTCTGATCTAATTGCATGTAATACGTGAAAAACGTATCAATCCTAAAAAAGACGCGTGTATGTTTTGAAAACAAACACATACTCACATATTCTAAATTATTCTTTTTTTTTTTTGTGAAGGGAAATCCATAAATAGGAGAATGTGGTAATAATCACCCATATTTCATATCGAGTCTATTTACTGTTATGTTAAATTACTAAGAAATGGCATTCATAAAAAAATGATTTAGTCAATCTAAGCATTATCGCCTTTATAGTTAATTTATTAATTTATTAGCTAAACTTATTCATTGAGCTGTCCGGTTGAAGTAGGAAATGTTGAAGGGAAGGTTAGAGCCGAGTGCATTTTCATTGAGGCGTGCACTAACGTCTATGAACCTGTGACTCGACAAAAGACGTATAACGGAAGGGAGATCCTACCGGAAGCGGGGAATGGACGAGTGCCTAACCGTGTCTCAGGCGTGTCCGATGGCTCGAAACCCCGTAATTTTCCCGAAAAAATACCTCGAAAACCGTGTGCCGCTATGGTTCTGATAGCCCTGAGGCAGGAATGTATATTAACAAAGTCTTGGCCTGTTTTCAGACTTATAATGAAACATCAATTATTATCCGTTAATCATTAAGGAATCTTGTTGTTAGGGGCACGGCCCAGACACAACTTCAAGGCAATGGAACAAGAATCGTCTTAGGAAATTAACGGACAGTGCCGTAACCATACGAAATATTCTCATTCTAATATATTATACATATAAGTTTCACTAAATGATTTTCATCAGATAATGTATATTTTATTTCTGTATTTAAAATCTTCTTCGAGGCGGCCCAATTAATCAGATGAATCAGACTTTTTTTAACAAATGTATTTTTGTCATTCGATAATAATGAAGAAATAACTATTTGAAATATTTAATCGGTAGTCTTGAATTCGCAATAAAAATTTAGTATCTGATAAACTATGTGCATTTAACGCGTCTATAGTACCTAAAGCATCTAGAAAAAATGTCTGATCAACTCAAACGTACTCATGGCACTATGCTCCATGCGTGGAGGCGAGCTCATTTATTTACCGGGTCTCAGTATTGACAGGGTGTAATTTACAAATCCTGAGGGCCGTTGGATATATCGAGGCTCCATTACTCCCGTATTACTACCCTCTTCCTCGCTGGCTCCAAGAATCGCTTTCCACCCTCCTGCGTCTTTCCAAAGTCCTCATATTCGTAATTATCATCGGCTGGCGGTACTATCGGAGAAGATGTATCTCGTCTTCCCTCCCCAAAGGAATGAGGCTCCTCTACTCTAGGCTGTATATAAAAATATGAGGGCAAACGGATTTTCCATTAGAAATGCGTCATTTTGAAATTGGAAATGTGTAACATTGAACCGGATTTATTACCACTTTATTCACATACGATGCTTCATTTTTTTTCACGAAGTTCAATTAAATTAGTTCAATACGACACCTCAACATTTTCCGTGCCTAAAAATATCCTGTCTGTAATATTTAAGGATGAGCGAGTAAAAAGTAAAATTGTCAAATAATCTCATATCTCTTAAAAAGAGACATTGATGCATAAATTCGGAAAGATTAGCAACATTATGATGATTATGACCAAGCAAAAAAAACAGTGATGAGATAGAGGTGACAGGTGAACAGAGACAGAATGGTGAAAAGACAATCTTGGGCCTGATCCCGTACATCAGGACCACAGGAAGCAGAGACCTTCCTTCGTACTCTCTTTGCTGCTCGATTATCGCAGGATCAGGAGACATTTGTTTTGGTCGATACGGGCAAATAGAAGCTGTCAGTCCATTGTCAAATAAGCAGAGCTGACCCTTCCATTCCCTTTGGTCCTTCTTCACTCTTCACGGTCCCCTATTAACAGGGACACAAGAAGTATAGGTAGGTACCGCTCTCGATGAAAGGTCGTTTGTTCCCTAGACTATTAGACTGGATAAGGGATGAAGATGCTGCATTACCTTGCACGCTTACAAACTCGAAATTTCCTCTTGACATACCAGTGCTTCTGCCTCTACCTTTAAAACTCCTTTCAGAACCCTATGCCATCCTTTTTTCGGACTGACCTGTGATCCTACCAAACAAAGACTCCAGATTCCTATGATAATAACAGGAGAGTCCCTGCATACGATTAATTCTTGGGTCATAGTTCCCGTTAATGTTCCACCGGAATAATTGAATTTGTCTACTCTAAAAGACTCTTCGTCCTTTGAACTTTTTAATTCTCTACCGAAGTCCCTGGAGGATTTTCATTCCTAAAGATCTATCTTCTTTCTGTCGGTATCTTCTGATTTTTGTTCATCTTTTTTTCCATTTGATTTGTTATGATTTCTCAAAGACGCTTCTATTTTAAATTTGATGCATTATTGGAGAGTGACGCACATTATTTTTCTTAAGCACGTAATCCACAATGCGACATTGCATTCAACGACGACTCCAACGAGTAACGGAATGTTTCCGAGAACTTTTTTTTGTTCGTGGTGCATCAATATGCACGAAGTGTCATAAAAAGTGGTTCACAGTTACCGATACCTGGATCTATGTGTGAGAACGATGTTGCTGCGAGTTCAGCGTATCGGAGACCAAGCTGAGCATAGGTGAAGTACCAACATAAATACAATTTATGTTGAACAAAATGTTCTTACTTCATGAAACAAAAGGTCTTGCTGTACAATTTGAAAATCATATATTCCAAAACGATGTTCTTACTACGCTAATTTAAAATATATCAAGTATCAATAAGGTAAAGTCATTCAGGATGCATTCTCTATTAGTTTGTAATTTTTTGAGAGGCAGAGGCGGAAAGTATTTTGGTGAAGTGCTGATCGAGTGTAGGTTGTATAAATGTCCATGGAAGGAGGGCCGAAGGAATATAGAGCCTCGGACTGCTTAACCCTTTGCATCTCCGGGGCAAAGGCTCGGTATCACTCGGCGCGTGCATTTCCAAGCGAAGATGGCTCAGCTCACCTCGGCAGTGAGGCTCAGGGTCTTCCTCCTCCTTACTTCTCTGCCAGGTTCCCTCTTTCTTCAGCTCCACGTTCCTCTTTCCCGTACCTTTCCTCTCGCAAGCAGGCCGCAGCTCGTTAAAAACTTGCCTGACCGGTTGGCCGTTCGAAGCTGACTCTGTGGTCTACGACCCGACACTCAACACAACCCGAGAGCCGAGTTTACTGCACACGTACGAACATCATCGAACTCACAGACATTCCCTCTTCATCTTTCTTCTTCATCTTCTTCTTCTTCGTCGCTTGTACAGCCTGCCTCCGCCGATCTCCTCTACTACCGACTCCCAGTGTACCTCGTGCTCAAACGCCCTTGAATAGCTCCGCTTTTCCTTCGGTTGCTCACCAGCCAGTTCTGGTGGAACTCGACATTGGCCGGCAAGTCTACCATCATGAGTTCCACTTGGTACGATTTTTATTATAGATTTATTTCGAAATTTCGTTTTTTTTCTTATATTACACATTTCGCTTGGGAGTTTTTTTTAGTACCAGGATAATTCCTTACGTCGTTTATACGAAAGATCGCCTTCTCACGTTTGGTACAGCCTATGACAACGTGATTAACACTAAAGGATACGTTTTTTTCCATGCTTTTTTTACATTTTTCAAATTTTCATGTATTATATATATATATTTTTTGTAACCATTTTACGCAATTTTGCTTCGCGATTTACACTCCCGAACTAACAGTATACATCTGACGACGTTTTGGAAGATTTACAACAACTTTTAAAGATGCGCATTACCGAACTCTTCCTAGTGAGTTCTTTCACGTAAGAAGTACTAAGAGATCGTCTTTTGATACTCAAGTAGTGCTGGAGAAGAAGAATGACAGCGGAATATTTGGACTCCTGACACTTTCTACCTTTTAAACTTAAGCGCTTTTTATAGTTCTGGGTATGACTTCCTCTGACCTAATTTCTTTATGTAAACTGAAGTACAATAATATTTTATTTTATTTATCATACTTTTCTATCACAACTCCATGAAATTTTTATACAATTCTGAACATCATTTTGTCATTTCTTCCACAATGCAAAACAATCTGATTACTAATATCAGTGCAAGATAGTGAAACATTTTTTATCTGGATTATTCGAATCTTAACACTTTATGGTATTTAAAAACATTTATATACGAAAATAGATCAATTGTGTAATTCTCGCGACCTAACAAGGAAATGCACTCCGTACCTGCTACATCAACGACTATTACCGCAATCAATGATCTTCGAGAAGAGTTCATATTGTACCCTTTGAAGTTCTCGCTTTTATCTTTGCACGAATTCAAACTAAACGTGATCCGTAGTCGCGCGTAATTATTTTGAGAACGCCTTATAAGTTATTATATAACTGGTGCTAAGATAGGCTCGTAGACATAGATTATTTTCGTCTTTAACATTAAATTTACAATGTACGAAGTTGCAACGTAATCGTGATCTTACTATATATGCAGGAGGCACAACTTGATACAATAGTAATATTGATTGTTCTTGCAATTGTTAAAAGAAAGGACGGTAGTATAAGGTTGAAAAAATTGAATTTAAAGATGAAGATATTATGAAAATAAAAAATTATAGAGTACTGTGAAAATCTGAGTACTGTGAGAATTGAGCTTTGAAATAAATAACGCAGAATGTAATTTGGTATTTCAATAATACTGGGGTCTTTTGTGA